AAGAAAATAATAATATAAATAAAAATAGTATATTTCGTAGAAATATTTGTTTTATATACTGTTGCAGCTAACAAAATATTTACTATCTATACATGCACAGTATTTGTTTATTAATATTTATTTTTTATCAGGAACCTTATATATTACATTATCACATAAGAGCTATTTGTAAAATACAAACAAAGTCAAATTTTACTGCTAAAAAAGGACAGTTAGTTGGGCCCAATAGAATTAATTTGTGAACTACTTTTTGATTAATTTTTCCTTATTAATAATATTAGCAGCAGCTCGAGGTGAGGTGCTCCCCCAACTACTAAGTCCACTTTATTAATTTAGTGAATCTTAAAGTAAATTTAAGAAAAGAAGAATATAGAAGATACTTTTAGAGTGAATCTAAAAGTATTGTAACAAATCATTATTAAGTAAATCTATTTTACACAACAACAAACATTAGGTCAGTAAGTCGAAATATTGAAAGATTGTTTTACAGTATGGCCTATCTTCTGATTGCACTGATTTGGCTCTCTACGGAGAGGTTAAAATTCAGGATGCACTATCAGATAAACTGATAATTGGAAATAATGAACACAATAATTTCTTAAGGGTCAGTGAATGAGCACACAATCAGTAAGAGTTAATCTAGGAGTGACAATAAACAGTCTAAAAATGTCAGATGTTGGTTTGAGCAACGTTTCATTGGTCTTAAGCCAACCTCAGCAGGCTCAGTCTATATCGTTATGACAATCGTTACAGACAGTCTCTTAGGTCTTAAGAAAAGTAATCTGCTCAAAAAACAAAAAAAAATTTTATCACCTTTAGATTTTTATTTGAGAATTGTGCAAGGCTCAGAAATTCGTCAAAAGAAGTACAATTTACATTAGATTCTAATGAATAGCATTGAGTTAAATTTTCACTGTGTTAAGGCTTTAGAAATTAGAAAAAAAAATAAGTTAAACATATATTACTGACCTGATATCTATTTCTGTAGAATTCGTAGCATTGAAAAAAAAAATAAAAACAAGAAAGAAATGGTGTGTTAATAAACTGGCCGTACTTTTTATTTTTTTAAACAATACTCTGAATTATAAAAATCTTAATGTTTGGAAGTTCTATTTATAAAGCATTTTAGAAGTGCTGCTTGTAGTGGTATTTGTATCACATGACTATATAAAAATGCATACTATAGTCAGTTTCAAGTAATCGGATTTCAAAGCTGAAAAAAAATACTTTTTCCTGAAATACTATTTTTTAACACAAGCACAGAACAAGCTAATTTTGCTGTGCATAACTCTAATGTTAAAATATAATTACTCTACTTAATATTGTAAGATTAATTTTGACTAAGTCTGTTCTCTAAAATTAGATTATTATTTCTGAAATTTATGAAATATGCCTTTGTACGTCATAGCATGTGTCTTAGCATTATAAAATAAAAAGTTTTAATTAAGTTTAAACTGTAAGACTTAATAATCATTTGCTTGTAATAAAATTTTTATTAGTCGAATTTAATACTTTTCTTTAATAAGTTTTCAAGTCTTTACTTTTATTCTTATAAAGAAAGTATTAAACAAGTGTGTACATTAAGAAATCCAAGCTAAATCAAGATAAAACTTCTTGAGCTGCCTCTTGGACATTAAGTGTGAGCTTTCAACCAAAGAAAATGTGTGTTTTATATAAATTAACTAACTTATTTTCATAGAAAGACATATAACTTACTCTAAAAATCCAGGCTTATGCTTTTCTTCGTTATAATCACCAAACTGCACTTGACATTGGATACCAGAAAAAAAACACGCTTGACTTTGAGTTACTGGATGTGTTCCATCTAAAATAGCATCCCGAGCTTGTACATAAAGTAGCGATAGTTGAACTGGATCTCTACTGTCAACATTTTGATCAGAGAAAAAAAATTTTCTTCTTAACAATACGGTCTCCACTTCATCAATACCTTGCTCTCTTAAAGTTTTGCTAGGATCAATCCAATTTACTGAAATTTTTATACTAGTCAGATTTGGAAAAAAAATTATATGTTATGTCTAACTTATTACGATTGATGTATTTTTGTGGAAAAAATTTTCAGATTTTATCATATCATATCCAAAAAAATTTCAGATTTGTTGAATAAAGTTTTAAATTTTGCTTTAGGATTTAAAACATACATTCTTCGAGAGAGCAAGCTGATCTACATCTTGAATGTTCTCTAAGTTAAAGTATATATAATCTAAACTATAAAAAATAATACATTAACGCATTTAATGACTCTTTGTTTAATTATTATGATTATTTTCAAACCAAAACTTTACATGTTCTTTAAAAAAAAATTTTCTTTTGTGTAGGCTACAGATAACGCTCACTTATTCAAGTGCTTCGTAAGTCTGACTTGTTGTCTGTCAATACATTAACAAGAAAGAAAAGCAAAGCAAGCAAAATGTTATCAAACAGACTTGAACAGACAAGTTTGAATCTAGGAATTATTGTATAGAAAGAGGGGGCCTTTTTTATCTGAAAACCAGTAGACAGTGGGTACTTGGATACCCAAGTATGAAGTTATACTTATATAAAATCATACGGCAAACAATATAATTTTCAGTACAAAAATACGTTCGATGGAACAATGTTGTGTACGAAGGTGGTGCAATTATCGTGGGAATGAGTATACCTACGTTGATTGGATATGATTGTAACTAATATTTAACGAGTTAACAATTATAAGCAATGCATTATTTCACATTATAAAAAAACAATACATAAGTTGGCCAGTACAAGACTGTGCACTTTGATCGAATCTTCTGGTGATTTCAGAACAACTTCCTATTGCCTACGCTGATTACATCTGTAACGTCACGCTCACACCTATCACATACGATCCCACGCTTATTCCTCGTCCATATTTAATACCCAAAATATAATTGAACGTAGAAAATGAAGAAAAATCATCCAGTAGTATAGCTTTCTTCAATAGGGTAGTATTACGTACCAGTGAATGTCACTTCAGGACGTTCATCACACAGAAGTTTTTTTGACAGATATTGTTTAAACCTCAAACGTATATTAAAATGGCATAAAAAACACCCACAAAAATTGCAGCTAATTTGATGGTACCATTGTTTTATACATCTTTAGTTTGAAAAAGTCAATATTCAACATATGACCTTATAAAAAATCACGTTAAATGACATTTATATGACTTTTAGGAATCTCCCAATTTTTTGGGTACAAAAGATTACTTTTAGGTGACCCTATCAAATTTTTAAGTAGACCCACAATTTGGTTCTTTAATGAATTGAAAAAGAAAAGATAAAGTCGGCGTAAATGCATGTATGTGAGTACATCCACATGAGAAAAACAATTTTTAGCTTTACTGCACACATTAGCGTTGCACTCTCTTCTCTGAACTTTTCCTCCACAAACTATGTAAAGAACGTCCTTATGTCCAAAAATTACTTTAATTATAAATGAAAAAATTGTAATAGAATAAGTCACAATCAAAATTGTTTATTGTATTTGTACAGTACAAAAAAAATTTTTTTTTTTTTTAAATTTTGAAAAACTATGAAAAGTTGTATAAACAATCATTTATTTACTGTAAAAGTAAGCAATTAAATATGAAGCAATAAATATTCATACATTGAAAAGGTACTCTGATAAAATATACTAATTTCCAAGTTTAAAAAAAAAACATTTTAGAAAAAAAGTTATTCTATAAGTAAATTATTTGTTAATTTAATTAATAATTAAACCAAATGAGTTTATAACCATGAAATGAAAATTTATATTAAAAATAAGTTATGAACTGTAACATCCCATGAAGGAATTGATTTTCCATTGTTGGGCGTGCTCATAGCAGAGTGTGTAAGGGCCTTGGCTAGCGTGCAAGAAGTCGGGGGTTCAAATTTCTTTGGCAACTGTTTTTTTTTGTTTGTATTGGTGAAAAGAAAAAAAAGTAAAATTCAAAATGTGTGCTGTAGTGTTGTGCCATCATGTTGTTCGATGACGTGTGGTGTAGGGGGACCAAAAGTATGTCAAGGAAGGTGGGTGAAGATAGAGAATCAAGCAAAATCTACTGCCATCACATTTTCCCAAGGTCAAAATCTGAAATATTGATTTACCCTCGTTCATAACGCACTAATAGAATTATAACTTCGAATAAATTATTATAAGTTAACTGTATATTGACAATTTGTTGTCAGTTAAGGAGAATCATCGCAATTTTTCTAGAGGGACTCATACAGCCTGTGAAATGATGCTGCTATGCACGGAGTTCCAGCTTGCAAGCAAACGAGGTTTTGACGAGCGTACACTTTGTAACAGAGAGTGCGTATCAGTAGAATTTGTAACAATAAAATGTTAACCTTCGATTGAAATTATAAGCAATTTGAGGAGTGAACATTTAAAAGCACCGTCTTCAAAATTTTATAGGCCTCTTTATCATCGGTCCGTAGCTGTGACGAGATAAGTCCAAACACGTTTTGTACGCTTTGACAATACGTAAATTTACGTCAAACAAATGAGATCACAAAATGAGTACCTCATCATCTATACTAAATTAATGAATGACAATGATTTTGGTTCGACTGCAATTCAAGTATTTTTTCTTAAATTAAAAAAAATTTAATCAATGCAATTAGATAACTATGAAATAGCTCAAGTAACATTATTATTGGAAGTGTAAGTTGGTATTTAAATTATGTCGGATGCTTAACTCGTAACTTATAGAATGAAGTTCATCAGAATGAGATACGTTAGAACAGTCAATTAGCCGATATGTATAGAAAATTTGGACAACAGCATTGATTTTAATAAGCGTCTTTGTGGCGTACTTAAAGAACTTCAAGGAACATTCAACCAGCTCAACGACTGCATAGTGCCCCAGCTAGGGGTATATTTACCCTCCAGACTGCTCCAACTTACGAGGCACCTATAAAATTTTAAAGCTAATTATAAAAGGATAATTTGGACGCTGTACAATCCTTCTTTGCTTTTTTTGTAATTGTGGTAGAAGACCCATGAAAAATATTTTTTTTAAGGAAAAAGTTTTTTTAAAGTTTAGTTTGGCAAAATTTTTGGCACTGAGCCAAAGTTTATTTGAACTTGTCATTTTGCATAGGCATAAGTTTTTATTAACTTCTCACAAAGTTCTTAAAAAGTTCTTAGAAAGTTTATTTGTATTTATTAAAAAATTAAGAATAAAATATTTAAATATAGATTGGTTTAAGTATAGTATTAACACTATTGTTGAGGAAAAGATGTATATAACAACAAGGTTGAACATTTGCGAGTAATTACAAAAATTTTTTAAATCTTTCATATAAGAAAAATGTAAGTATTTTAAAAGTTAATTCAATTTAAGAAAACCTTAGACAAAGTTAACAATAACTTAAACCCATGCTTTTCCAAAAATTGATGAGTTTATATAAAGTTTGGCTCAGTGCCATTGGTGAAGTTTGACAAAACTTTTTCCTTACAAAATTTTTTTTACGCGGGGAGGTGACAACTGATGATCTTTTTATCGATGATCGGTTTATTTCCGCAAAATCCAATAAATTAAGGTCCAACACATGGTTTTTTAAGAAATCTACCTGTCGGAGGGCGGGTTCGTTCACTAGTGCAAAGTTGATTAAGTTCAGTCACCGATTAAACTAAAGAGAGAAAAAATTAAAGAATTTTCGAAATGTGAGTAATTTAATTTATTGGCATTTTAAATTAAACACACGATTGCCAAGGCAACTCGAATTTTTCAGTTAAAACTACAGTTTGTAGAAACTATGTCATACGTAGCAATTTAAAAAAAGTGCCACCTTAACCAGCACTTGAACCTGGAACTGTTTTCTTGCCGGGAAAGTGCGTCACCAATTTCGCCATCAAGGTCTCCGTGACTCCTCTTCTCAATTGCTACACTTTATACTTTTTTGGCGATTTTTTTAGTCCGACGCGCAACGCCTTGCTCATATGGTATGTAAAAATATTAGAATTTACTTTAATTTGTCTATGGGTAAGTATTAAATACGAGTAATTGAATTTATCAAGATTTCCCATCCAACATACGATTGCCAAGGCAACTCGAACTTTTCAGTCACAACTACAGTTTGTAGAAACATTGTCATACATAGCAATTAAAAAAAGTACCACCTCCACCAGGACTTGAACCTGGAACTCTTTTCTTGCCGGGGAAGTGTGTTACTAATTTCGCCATTGAGGTCTCAGTGACTACTCTCCTCTCCTTTTCTCCCGTCGTTGGCTCGAACAAATGTCTTAATAGCCCCTTTAATTAAGGTAAAGTACCCAATAGTTGGACACTTTTGACAGTCAAAATTTTCTTTGCTGATTTATAAAAAACTAACAAAAAATGATGTTACAAAAAACATTGCATGTATTATTTTAAATTTTTCTTATTTATTAGAAAAAAAAAATCAGGTTAATAAACAAAGAAATAATTAATATCAAAGAAAAACCATTAAGACCCAGTATCTGGACACTAGTGTCCAGGTACTGGGTCCAACATGAAAATTGGGACCAGTAGTTGGATACTCCATATTAATTAAATGAAAAGGAGGTTAGAGTGGACCTAATTTCAAAATGCTTTCTCACATCTCTCAACTTCTCAATGATTATAATATTTTGTACTACATGGTATAGTTTCTGGTCATCATTCAACTTTATTTTTAGTTTAGTCTTCAACAGTAACATTAAAATGTTATATTCAGTAATAATCAATAATTTTAAGTGTTTTTTACTGTCCAAGTTCCAGGTATAGGAAAAATCGTATGTTATCGAATGGAAGCTATTCTTGGACAGAGCTATTTATATTTTTCGATGCGTTAAACTCTGAGAAACTTAATAAAAGTTATAATAATATGCATTTTGCAAGGTAACTTTAGTTAGAAAATTACTTGAACGTTTTATGCCCAACTATAAATTTTAATTTTTAGCGATTTTTTCCGTGTCCAAGTACTAAGTATAGGAACACTCCTATGTTATTAAAGGGAT